TAGAATAGAATAGAATAGAATAGAATAGAATAGAATAGAATAGAATACTTTATTGGCCAAGTGTGATTGGACACAAGGAATTTGTCTTGGTGTAAATACTCTCAGTATACATAAAAGAAAAGATACATTCGTCAGGAGTCGAGAATCATAAGGTATGAAACTTAATGAAAGTCATAGGGTACAATTAGCAATCAATCATACTAGGAAACAGTCAATATAAATCGTAAGTATACAAGATATATGGTCCTATGTTAAAAGGTTATTTTAAAGGTGGCTTCGGTGAGAAAATCATTTTAAAACTGAGGTTTTATTAAAGTCACAATATATTGAATGTAACTGAAGATCAGGACTCCCTTGCATTTTTCAAAGCATATATTTTCAGTTATTAGTTGCTTTTCATTCAGGAACACAAGGCACCATATATAGTGCTTTCTCATGCTTTTTTCCTCATAGCAATCCTGTGATATAGAGGAGACTGAAAGAATGTGACTGTTTCCAAAATCCCAAATGAATTTTTGTGGCTGATGCTATTTTTATTTTTTTTAAAGGATGCGTTTACATTTTTAACCCATCCACCCTAAGCCATGGAAACACACTGGGTGACTTTGGAGTAATTGTTCCCTTAAACCAATATACTTTACAGGATTGCTATTTTACTGTATATATAAAATGAAGGGAGAATCTCATTTTAGACATTCAGGGCTCCTGAAGAAAAGGCATTTTACAAATCTAACCATTTATAAATCTATTACTAATAAGTTAAAGGTTAAGTATGAAAGTTATGAAAAATCAGTGACTACTAACAAATAATTAAATCAGCTAAAGACAAAATAAAGTTAGTGTAGTTATTACAAATCAGTTGAAATATTATATTTGTTTTATTAATCTAAACTGAAATGCTGAATTATTCTGTGTCATTATTTTTCCATTCCATTTTTTTGAAGTGAGATTCCATCCAACATTCTATATTTGGAACGTGTGAGTGAGTGAGTGAGCATCTGTTTGGGTGTAAACTGAGCAAAAGAGAGCATTATATATTTTAACATTATATTAACAGCAGTAAGTTGCTTAGTTATGCCTAAAATGTGCACAAGCACATGCATTATTATGTAATTTTGCACATGCATTCATATACGCAATCTGTATGAGCTCAGAACTGTACTCAAGTCATTGCATAGTCATATCACCAGATTTGTTTGTGAGCATGCACAAAAGTATAAACACAGAGAGAGCAGTAAGAACAGGCTGTGATAGTCTGTAAATGCTG